CAGACGGATTTTGGGCATTTTAGGTGCATTTCAGGTCCCTGCATCCATTTCTGGTGTGCTTGGGCCCATGTCGTCTGCCGTTCCCTCACGGATTTAAAATCCGAAAAATCACCCTTTATTGCTGTTTTGATGAGTACTTGGCCCGCAGTGAGTCCAATCCCAGATGGATTTTGCGGCCCAGTACCATTTTAGGTGCATTTCAGGTCTCTGAATCCATTTCTGGTGTGCTGGGGCCCATGTCGTCTGCCGTTCCCTCACGGATTTAAAATCCGAAAAATCACCCTTTATTGCTGTTTTGATGAGTACTTGGCCTGCGGTGAGTCCAATCCCAGATGGATTTTGCGGCCCAGGACCATTTTAGGTGCATTTCAGGTCTCTGAATCCATTTCTGGTGTGCTGGGGCCCATGTCGTCTGCCGTTCCCTCACGGATTTAAAATCCGAACATCAAAACAGCAATAAAGGGTGATTTTTCGGATTTTAAATCCGTGCCAGCACACCAGAAATGGATTCAGAGACCTGAAATGCACCTAAAATGGTCCTGGGCCGCAAAATCCATCTGGGATTGGACTCACCGCAGGTCAAGTACTCATCAAAACAGCAATAAAGGGTGATTTTTCGGATTTTAAATCCGTGAGGGAACGGCAGACGACATGGGCCCCAGCACACCAGAAATGGATTCAGAGACCTGAAATGCACCTAAAATGGTCCTGGGCCGCAAAATCCATCTGGGATTGGACTCACCGCAGGCCAAGTACTCATCAAAACAGCAATAAAGGGTGATTTTTCGGATTTTAAATCCGTGAGGGAACGGCAGACGACATGGGCCCCAGCACACCAGAAATGGATTCAGAGACCTGAAATGCACCTAAAATGGTACTGGGCCGCAAAATCCATCTGGGATTGGACTCACTGCGGGCCAAGTACTCATCAAAACAGCAATAAAGGGTGATTTTTCGGATTTTAAATCCGTGAGGGAACGGCAGACGACATGGGCCCAAGCACACCAGAAATGGATGCAGGGACCTGAAATGCACCTAAAATGCCCAAAATCCGTCTGGGATTGGACTCACCGCGGGCCAAGTACTGATTTAAACTGCCATTTTGCTTGATTTTTAGGTCGGATTTTAAATCCGTGAGGGAACGGCAGACAACATGGGCCCAAGCACACCAGAAATGGATCCAGGGACCTGAAATGCACCCAAAATGCAGCAATAAAGGGTGATTTTTCGGATTTTGAATCCGTGAGGGAACGGTGGGTGGCATGGGCCCAAGCACACCAGAAATAGATGCAGGGACCTGAGATGCACCTAAAATGCCACTGGGACCCAAAATACAATGTACTAAACAGATTTTGAATTTTTTACCAATTTTTCCATCAAAAAAACTTGAATTGCTTCACCAGTGAAAGGCAGACAATAGACAAAGGACAAAGGACAAAGGACAAAGGGCCACAGGATTTCCAAGCTCCTTTGTCTGTCCTTTGTCTATTCTTTGTGTGTATTTTGTCTGGCAAAGAACAATTGATGGACTGTGATATCGGCTTTGTTTAGCTGCCAACCACCTTCGGAACACATGAGTGAAACACATGTGAATTCTGGGTGAGTTAGCTTTTGCCCCCACTGTTTGTTTTGCATTTTTTACTTCTATTTCTAGTGAAACAACTGGTCAAAAAACTGTTCATTTTTCCACCTTTGTTTTTACCTTGAAATGTGTATGAATTAATGGTATTACTGGTTCGAAGAAAAACATGAGGTTTGTTTCACATTTTTCACTTTGATTTCAACTCACAAAAGTGGTGAAAAATGTTTTAAAATTTTCACTTCTTTTTGGAGTGAAAAAATGCCAATAAATTGAATGACATTTTTATCAATTTTTTCACTTAAAAATTTGAAATGTTCAACCAGTGATGTTTCGCATTTTTCACCTAGAGTTTCAGTCAAAAAATGTGAAACAAACATCTCAACGATATGACCAACTTTGTTTCACATTTTTCACTTTGATTTCTGGTGAAAAAGCTAGTGAAAAAACTTTTGATTTTTTCACCTTGAGTTCAGTCAAAAAATGCAAAAGAAACATCTTTGCAACATCACAAACTTTATTTCACATTTTTCACTTTGATTTCAACTCAAAAAGTGGTGAAAAATGTTTTGAATTTTTTACTTCTTTTTTCGGTGAAAAAATGCCAATAAATTGAATAACATTTTTATGAATTTTTTCACTCAAAAAATTGAAATGTTCAACAAGTGATATTTCTCATTTTTCACCTTGAGTTTCAGTCAAAAATGTGAAACAAACATCTTAACAATATGACCAACTTTGTTTCACATTTTTCACTTTGATTTCTGCTGAAAAAATTAGTGAAAAAACTTTTGATTTTTTCACCATCATTTTCACCTTGAGTTCAGTCAAAAAATGCAAAAGAAACATCTTAACAACATCACAAAATTTGTTTCACATTTTTCACTTTGATTTCAAGTCAAAAAAGTGGTGAAAATGTTTTAAATTTTTCACTTCTTTTTTCGGTGAAAAATGGCTATAAATTGAACGACATTTTTTATCAATTTTTTCACTCAAAAATGTGAAATGTTCAACCAGTGTATCAAGAGCCAAAAACTGAACTTCTCAATGGTAGAGGATGTCAAAAAGAGTACTTGTAGATAGATAATAGAACGAGGAGAAAAGCATTACCCATAGAAAGTTGGCCGGCTTGTTGGATTCGCTGTCAGAAATTCAGGATAGTTGTTCATCTGCCAAATTGTATAAGATACACCAACTCAATGGACTTTCAGGGTATAATGGTTCAGACTTCAAGAACTTTGCAAATCCATGATTACTGATAGGTGAAGGATTGAACTAAAAGAATACAGTAAAAGTGGTCATATACCCTTTGATAGATGGATTATTATTGCAACAATAGATAAATCCAGAGACCTAGAGAAATATTGAGACATAGTCTTTCATCGAGGTCCTAGAGTCAAATCAATAAACAAGGATCTATACAAGGGAAGATGTTGGGACAGAAGGAAGATACATTGAGTGAGAGAAGGTTGTGGTCACATGCCAATTGAACTGATACCCATACGGACCTGCAGGGAATGAAATCAGGAGTAACAGATTGAGAATGACAGCTATGATAATATCAGACTGCTCGGAGCATAACATCAGTCTAACATGGGCAGACACAAATCTATTGTCTACAGTCTTGAGTCTACGTTGAACCCAAAGTCGAAGATTGGAGCTAACAAATATTAATAATTGAGTGAACAACAGACACCCTAAATCAAGATCAGTTGAAGATATACATGCAATGAAAGAAAAACGCAGTGCACAGACCTGGATTCATTGTTGTTGTTGCTGTTGTTATTTCTATGTTACACTGCAAGTGGCCAGGGATGGCTATGCAGCAGTACTACTGTAGGTAAGGGGGCGGATGGGGTACAGTAAGATGAATACATGGGACATATTTTAGACGAGATCTGGATTCACAGAACCATGGTCTCGGATTTCCAAGCTCATAGACATACAGTAATTTTGGAACACCTTATGACCAGTTAACCAGCAAGTCAGGACGAGATACCAATGGGAGTACAAGCTATGCACCTGCTATCACTCAAAAATAGTCTCGGTGTTTTAAATTTGCAGTGTGGATTATGAACTTACTCTTCAATATCAACCATCTGAGTGGAACTAAGCTTGAAAAATTTGATGTCAGCACAAAGGACAAACTTGGTGCAATCAGATCACAGAACAAGATTAATCACAGTGTGCAAGGGCCCGTGGCTCGAGACTTGATAACTCAAACTCGAGAGTTGTTTTCGAGGCAGATGAATGTTGGAGGATTGAATGGGACCAACCTGTACATAAACAACAATTGTTTCCCGGATTCTTCAAAAGTGTCTGATAATCTACAACTGAGTCAAGGTGGAAGTAAGGTTCAAAGGATAAGAAATATGTGTTGGAAGGGGGGCATGGTCAATTGAGTCGATATGCATAAATTGGTCTTCTGGCAACTAGTTACAATATTTTGCTCAAACAAGTACATAGTCATAATTTCAAAGTTGGGAAGCACTATCACAAAATAAGGCCTCAAGAATAAATTGGACTCTTTTCTTTGATTCAGACATTCCATAATTGTGCTGCCAAATCATTCAGGTGTCCCACTGAAATCACATGTAATCCTACATTGATTCTTCAACTTATTCTTGAATCATTTTCCCTTCAGGATATTGGGTCATTTTCGGAAAGCTCCAGGAGGTCGGTGGGCATCCCAGAACTTGTTACCGCTCGAGAAAATGAAGCAAACATGGCCAGTGAATGCCCAATGTATGCTTCACACTATCCCTTTCTACGGTGTTCCTTTCTACACTCCTTCAGTCGTCCGGTACTTCCATAAATGAAGCTCTTTAGTGTCCGTCCTCGGAAGTTTTTGATAGGTATGCCACCATTCGTTCGACCTCGGAAGGTTATATGATGATGGGGTTTAAGACTGACTACACATGAGGCCTACTTCCGTGGTCTGTGGTGTTGTTCGAGAGCTCTTTTTCCTCTCCGGAAGTTGTTTGTTATGACTCCCACAGGGTGTGGAACTTTTTTCTGTAATATTCGTGGGTGTCTATCCCTCTGTTACTTGAGGGTTCCGAAGTGGGAAGGAAGGAGGAGGGTCTGTCCTTTGTCTCGATGACCTAATTTCTGGGAGTTGACTGTCCTTGTTTTATCTTTTTAGCTGCTAAGCCTTGGGGGAAACAAGATGATTTGTGCTACTGACTACACACTGTATTTATACCCTAGAAGAGTGTACAGCTTTTTGTGCGCCTCATGGTTCCTCCATACAGCACTTACAGAGATTCTCAGGCTTCACAGCCTTTCTTCCAGTATCCATAGTGCTCCTGGAATTCCCATATTGTTTCCCCAGGGGTTCATGCCATCCCTATCCACCCAGAAGTGAGCTCAGAGTGTCCTACAGAATTTGATTTCCATCTCATGTGTGGTTGGCCTGTGTGACACCGTAGTATACTGGTATGCGCTGGATTGCAGCTTTTTGGTAGGATCTTCCAGAGCCCTGGTTCAATTCCTGGCTATGTCATGTTGTCATGTTGCTGGGCGAAGACATTTTTTATTGCCTGACTGCCTTCTTTCAAACCTTTCTTTGTTGGATAGCTTTCTGTCTGCCATTGAAACCTGTTCCATGATACCCCAGGTTCCAAACCAGGTGGGTCCCCTTGAGTTTTTAATTTCTGGTTTATTTAATTGTTCGTTTCTTCCGGATTTTGATTCTTCCTTCAGTGCTTGCACTGGAAGTTCCATAAGCTCCCCCCTCCAGAGGGTCTTCTTGTGTGATATTCCACTGTATCTCCTGTATGGTTTTCCTTCCTTGTTGCCTCTGAGTATTTCCTGGGTTTCTTCTGTGTTGCTCTATATTTTGGATTTCATTTTGGTAGTGATGGAATGTCTTCAGTGGCAGTGAATATGTCCCCTCATATCTGCCTTTGTTCTTTGGCCAACCAGGTGCTGTAGTATATGGTGTGCATCAGAGGCCATTAGGGGAAGTCAGAGTTGGCGAAACAACATTGATTCTGGCTCGATTCTGAGTCTGATTCTGATCTGATTCTAAGTTGAGTTTCCGTCAAGAATTACATCCAACTCTGACCGACTCTGTTTAACTACAATTCTACTTTGATTCTCCAACGATTCAAATTCCAATTTGTCCTTGACTATACCCTAACCATAGGTCTATTGATACTAGAAATACATTGGTCCCTTGTTGACTTCGTTATCCTCAGAGCCATCTTCATCGTTGGAATCGAGTCCATCAAACGGGGGTTTTTTTGCAGTGTTTTTCAATTTTTGTTGGTGTGCCTTGCCCGCTCAGTGGGGTCTTCGTGAGTCCCAACTTGGTGGGTTTGGCAACCTTGGCAGAAGTCAGCTTGGATGAGCACCCCATATTTGTGGCAAGAGACATGGTACTATGCAGTGATTGTCGGAGGTTGTCACGATTCAGACATTATCTAATCGCGACAACGCCTTATCTAAGCGCTTAATCAAGCGCTCGTCTATTTAAACACCAAGGCTATGCTTGAGTCATCAGTGATCGGACAGCCAGGGATCGGGTTCCCACAGGAACATGCCGATGAAGATGAAGCACGACGGATTGGTGATCGGACAGCTGACAGGTGTCATGCTGCGGACATGTGGAGTATGCATGGGCATTACTCAGAACACATGGCTTCGGGACGTTTCTTACTCAGAACACATGGTTATGATGCTTATAGCACATGGACGCTCTATTGTATATATTATTTGCACTAGCTACATAGCCACAGTTGAACAGTATAAGTAGTGTAGCTAGTTGCTTGTATTCCTTAGTCTTTTATTCCATCATTCTTTGAGCCTCACTCTTACCGAGCACCTCCAATCTGCATTGTGTGTCCATTGGGTGTTCTTGAGCCTTGAGCATGACAATATGTGAATATAAAAACTAATTATGGTGGCATGTAAGAAGTTGCTAGAGGATTCACAGAGTCAATTCTGAAATCGATTCTGTGTGAGTTCCTCCCCCTGAGGAGGAACTGTGATTCTGTTTCGATTCTGATGAGGCCAATTCTTGATCGAAACTCGACTTAAAAATCGGATCAGAATCGGACTCAGAATTGAGCCAGAATCGATGTTGTTTCGTCCACTCTGACTTCCCCTATTATATGAAAATCGGATTTGTTACTCCAAAGTCGTGGGTTCAATTCCTACCGCACAGAATGGATTCTTTTTCTTTTAAATGTTCATCCAGGAGTCGGAGAAATTCCATTATTTATTGTTGCAAACTGCCCTTTTTGCTCTGTCCTGATATCTGCGCCGTAGCATAACAAATTGCACCGGGTTTGATCATCTTGATTTCATCACCCCTCGGAGGTTCGGGGTTCAAGTCCCGGCGGTGCCATCCTTTTTCAGCTTATTCCGGAGTTTTTGGAGTCGGCTCATTTAGCCGGCTCACAGTGCACACAAGTTTTGCACCATGCAATTGACATGGGAGAGGCCGCACTGGGATCAAGACTCAGTGCTAGCAATCCAAAGAGATAAATGAGAAACGGGAGAAACAGATACTACAGTATACACAAAACTCCCCAATGACTCACTCATCCCATTATGTTCTCTTCATCCACTTGTTTGGAAGCTAAGTGAAGGGGCACCGGCACACACGAGCCAACACCAAGGGAAAAACAACATTCAGGCAAGTCCACTGGAAAAGGGAGTAAGGACCTGGCAGTGCACAACATATCATGCCAGGCTTTCGCAACCAAGTTCATTAAGTCCTCTGTCAAAGAGTTGAGACAAAAGCATGGTGACCTGAGGGGCAAGGGCCTCAGTTGTGGAAAGTTGCACCACATTGACTCAAAGGCTGATTCAACAATTTATTGCCTTAATGAATGGATTTACAAGTGTCATAGACTCTCAACCCCCTACATTGAATAGCAAGACAAAATTTTAGGCAGAACTTCATTTGAAGGGATTTGGAGAAGAATCGAGGAATAAAATGCTACAGGAACCCCGACACCAGTTTTTTGTTCAACACTCAATCCAGAATGAAATTGAAAGCTACTCTAATGTATGTAACTGGATGCAGAGGCTGGTGACGGGCCTACACGTAGCAAATTCAACCACTTTCCACAAAAGGGAGGTGGCTGTGCTAATATATAATTGCGACCTTGAATGTCGGTGAGTGGGAAAGAAATTGGACTAGCTGAATACATAAAGGGAATGTGTCAATGATAGCCTCAAGTCTCTCACATGAATGAGAGGGAACAGACACCCAGGAGGCATGTATCTGGGGTCCTGGCACCCAAATGGGTCACTTTGCCTCGCTTATCACGCTTTCGGATCGTCGCCTGCCAAAAATACAAGCTGTCCAGTCCGTGTTGCCATAGATTTTAGTCTACAAAATCATCGCCGGAATTGAATTCTTCATCATCAGAATCCCCATCGCCATCACCTTCCGAGTCGCTGGACTCAGACTCCTCCACCTGAAGCGTGCGTGCAGAGCGTGTAATTTTACGTTTCAAACGGCCTGCTGCAAGACCAATTGTTGTGGAACCAGACACAACCGCCCCTGCGGCGGCTGTGGTGCGGGCTCTTGGTGTCCCTGAACGAGGAGCCGCAATCTGCCAACATTTACTAGGCCTCTGTCGGGGCTCATCATCGTTGCTTGATGCCACGGTGGGGCGCAGACGTTTACGGGCAGCGTTTTCCTTTCGCTTCGCTGCTTTCATGGCCCGAGTCTCCCGAAGTCGAGCTGAGAATTCATCGTGTTTAGCCCTCCTGTCCTCGAACAGAGCAACAGGTGCCCAGAGGTCGCGTGAGACTGTGGCACGGATCAGGTGGGAGTTATGGAAACTGTGAGTGTTGATAATAAAGCGGTCGAGTGGGGCATGGACAATGAATTGCTCCGTTTGATCAGATTCAACACGTTCTTGCATAACGGGACGGACACCCGTGGCTTCGCATCTCGCTGTAAAACAGTCATGCTGAGCGTTGAAGTCGAATTTTATATTCTGGACACTGTCAGCACGTGCACAAATAAACAAGACTGAAACTGCACCTTTGCAGGGAGGATTGAAAATGTGGTTTCATCGTCACGGCGTGCGAGAACAGGTGTCCCATAACGTGAGTGCCGCACTCTGAGTATCTGGAAAAGTTCAACAATCACAATAGCTGTGCCCAACTCGTTGCAGAGGATGTCAGACAGACGCCCGCAAATCATTGAATTCTGTCGTGCCGTGAGTACAACTCCAAAAGGTGAAGTCGAACTTGCCGTATCTGAATGCGAATTCGCAAATACCCAGGTGCCCACAAAACATTCATCTAGAGACTCAGAGACAACGGTTTTGCATCTCATCCACTTGCTGTTGCCGTTATACTCCCCCCAAAATTGAGTGCACAAGCAGCATTGGTGGTCTTGAGCAGCTCAACAGGCCGTGTTCGGACCCCATGTTTCAATGGCGCCAGCTTTGTATCGCCTATAAGTATTTATGTGAGGATTCACTGATCTTTGCAGGGAGATAACACCTACTGTGCTTCATCTGCTTCTCAGGCGTCCATCCAACAAGTCTTTGCAGTATCGGGTGCTTCTCGATGAAATGACAGACACCCGGACCGGCAACGTGCCAGTCTCCGGTGCTCTTGGACATCCACCTCCCTCCAGTCAGTTGGTGCTTGACCGTTTCTTGTCGCCCGAATTGATTTGCAATGTCCCGGCTTGGCGCGAGGTGGTTGGAGTAGATCGAGCAATAACGGAACACGGCACTGAAACTCTCGAAGATCTCCGTAGCCATTGCGATGAGAGGTCCGAGTTGAATGGCGTCGAAGTCGAGGTGTGTAAGGAGGTGGTATTTGATCTTGGTCATAATCTTTGAAGGATCAATTTGTGCGACAGCATCGAGTACATTTCCGACCGCAATTTTGAGGTCATTCTAAATGTGTGTGTAAGAAAAAGAAGGAACAGAAAAGCAATGCAAATACCCGATATTGGATGAGGTCTCGAATTTCGGGGACCCACAACAGCGCCGAGAGTTCTCCGACCGCTTTCCATGTGGTGAATTGTTCCTCAGTGACGAGATCATGCAGGTGGAAGACGGCGGTTTGGATGATTGTTTTGAATTGTCGACCGATCAGAGATCCGGCATACTGCATAATATAGTTGGCGCAGATGGCGTGAATTGAAAGACCTTCGGTTGCAGTGGCCTGGAGTCGCATTGAGTATGTCTTCTTCTTCTCAGCTGACCATGGTGTGTGCGATATATGCCAGATATATTTGACCGCACCAAGGAGGATTGTGTGTAGAAGTTCGACGGGGGTGTCTGCTGCAGGATCGAATCCTAGTCCTATGAGTTAGTTTGCAAGTCCTTTTAAAAAAAATAAAGCCCTGTACCTTTCAACATTAGAAATGGACTATACAATTTCTCCTCGTTGTCACGCGTCCACTGGATGAGCTCGCTCTTGATGGCAGCTTCTGAAGCATCTGGATCCTGCCGACACATTTCCGCGGCACGACTGAGAATTTGCTCAATCCAGTATTGTGTATACACGTCCTTGATG